GAGCAGAAAGTAACAGCTCTCAAAACGAGAGGGGGTCCCGACTGGGGTGCCCACTAGTTAGGGCAAAAGCTTTGGTTTTTATACCTTTTGTATGTCTGGGGATGGGGGCTGTCTGGTGCCTCTTGGTACTATTATCAGAATTACATTGTTGCTTAGCCCTGAGGAGGAGTTTTCTCTAACCTGTCTAATTTCCTTAGAGTTTAATCAACTTAATCAATGTGTGCTGCGAGGAGTATGTTAGCCAGAGATTGGCTTTGAAGAAAGGACTCCTGACACTCTTATCTTATGTTAAATAACCTCTTTGAAGATATGCCTTCTACCTAGGAATCCCTGACTTGGAAAAAGAGGCCTTTCTCCTCCCTGACCTGAGTTTGTCACTCTGGTGGGTCCTGTGACTTAAACCTGTCTGTCGGCTAATACATTATTTCCCTGTCTTTGTTATGGTTTTCACTGATTCCCTCTACCTTGGCAATTTCCTTGACTACCTATAATTTTCCTATTTCAATAGGGCCACAGGTAAATGAGCAGGTTAGGATGGGGTCTCAGAAGAGGAGATTGGGGGGCTCGTGAGTTCTAATTATAGCACTCTGCGTGGGATGGTCTGAACAGGGAGCGTGAGGAGCTTTGTGGGCCCCTCCAGCCTGCCCTGGTGGAATTGGGGTCTTATCAATGCAGATCCGCTCTTTAAGTGTAAACTCTTCTTTGTCATGTGGCAATTTTTAGTTTCTAGTTGACCATGCTTAATAGTTTGATAGAAGTTTTATAAGTCTTTCTCTTTTGGTATATGTTTTAGCAAGGTCGTTTCTACCCCAAAAATATATAAATAGTTACACATATCATCTAAATGAAATTAAGTTTCCTTTCTCTCTCTCTCTCTCTCTCTCTCTCTCTCTCTCTCTCTCTCTCTCTCTTTCACTCTCTCTCCCTGTCTGTAATGAATCTTTATTTTTTGGAATGTATTTTGATGTGTTGCACTGAGATTTCTTTTTTCCCCATTAGTAAATTTCTTCAAATACTACTTACTGAATTACCTCACTGTACTTTAACCAGTCAGAATACACCATTCACTTATCTTTCATATTAAATTTATTAACACATTCCTGTTGTAGGTTGATGTTATGTGGAAAAAATTTTAGTGACCAATTATAAAATACCAATCAGTATAAATACCAATTTCCCAGAAGAAAAAAGGCTATAGAAGTTAAGTCTATTCAATTTAGCTGATTTTTCTTCCAGTTAACATTATCACAATAGTGCACTCTGCAAGGCAGAAAAAGTGTATGAAAAATGGAAGATACAATTTATTAGAGTTTTTTTGTTCCTTACAGTTTTATTGAGACATAATTGACGTAATCATCCTGTATAGGTTTAAGATATACGAAATAATGGCTTCACTTACATGTATTGTGAAATGATTACTGAATTAGGTTTACCTAACTTAGAGGTTTGCTGGTACTGCAAATGCAAACACCAAATGGACTGGCTTCTGCAAACTTAGTCTGGAGGCCGAAAGAGGAATGGTGGGATTAACCTGGTGGATTAGAGAGAGCATCCCAAAGACGTGACATTAAACTAATGGCTTCATTCGAGCAGTTTCCAGAGGCAGCTCCTCCTGTGGCCGCCCTGCCACAGGTAAGAGCCACCACCATCTCTGAAGCAGGCTGCTCAGTGAGCTTGTCTGTGACTCTTTCTGGCCCTTTCTGCTTTTCACCACCAGGAGCTCCCCCCCCCACCCCACACTGTTCCCTCTGGAAGCCACAGAAGAGGCGAGAGGGCTGGAAGGCACACCAGGGTGCTTCTAAGTAAAGCAGGTCCGTGAAAAATTGCTTATAGACTCTGCAAAATAGCAAAAGGGCTAACGTGACAATTCTGGTATTGGAGAAGTTTAAAATAATCAGGAGATTAAATATAACCACAGAAGCAAGAGGTCATCAGGAGAAAGGGAACTCTCACAAAGAAAATGCATTTTCTGTTTCATTATTGCAGACACTTAATACCTTGGTAAAGCACCCCTCTTTCTCTTTGTTATAACCTTCCCACTGGGCTTGGAGGCAGAGGTTACCTAAGTTTGCTGGGAGGTGCCAGTGTGTACAACTCACCTGAAAACCTATGGTCCCCAGACCTGAGGCACCTAGAGCCACACCTATTCAGCAGGATGGCAAAACGTTCGCCTGCCCTTGTAAACTGATGTCCCATGGGCTGTGGGACTTGCGATTACTATAAAGAATCTGTGTGCTTGGTAATTAATGGAGAAATTCTATATTTAAAACTTCCATTCTCTATTGAGTCACCCATTGCAGGTTTTCACCTATGTAATACTGTTGAAGTGTTGACACCTTAAGGAAATTTTTTTTTGTTTCAAGTTCTTTATTATTAATTTTATATATCTACTTAATTGCTCAGCAAAAAGAAAGAAAGAAAGAAAGAAAGAAAGAAAGAAAGAAAGAAAGAAAGAAAGAAAGAAAGAAAGAAAGAAAGAAGGAAAGAAATTGGTTTTTCTTTGGGAGTTGTCAATAGCAGTAGACATTTCTAGTTCTTCGTGTTACCTAAAATTAGTAACTTTTCCATATCTAACCACTTGGATTTGACACACTTTGTGACCTTTATCAGTAATTAGAATACAAGTTGAATGAATAAAATACAAAACGGGACCTTCAAAGTCTGGGAGCCAAGAACTCAGCTCCCCAGGGGTCTGTGAGTCCTTTGGACATTGTAAATAAAATTTTACCTGTCAGTATGTACCTTCTAGGGGAAGAGGTCCTTAGCTTCCCACTCAGGTTTTCACAGGGCTCCACAGACTCCGGTCTCTTGAGAAGTTTATCTTAAATAAATGAAATTTACATTAAAATGAAGTTAAACTTAAATGAAGATTGTTTCCAGGACTAGGTTCTAGATTAACTTAATGGTACAGAATCAGCCACCAGTAAGATAAGCTGAGAGTATGGTCAATTTATAATTTTCTAATAAGGTTTCTTTAAGACCCCTCCAAATTCCCAGTATCAAGCTACACTATCAGCAATTCCTACGTCACCAAGACTCTAAATGTGGGCGTCCCCCTCACATGTTCTTCCTGTTTCATTCCCCAGGTCTTGTCCAGTCTCCCCCTGAATTATATCCACGCCTTCTTTTGTATACCCACCTTAGCCCCCCGAGCCACATCGCTCCTTTCAAATATAATTGCCTCTTAACTGTTATCGCTCCTTTCAAATATAATTGCCTCTTAACTGTTCTCTTTAACAGGATCAGGAAAACCTTTGTGTGCTAAACTCAACAATTTGATGTGTATCCTGAAAGTAATCCTTTGGAACCTAAAATGATCATTAATAATAGAAAATGTTCTCTTCCCTCAAGGAGCTTAGAACCTAGAGTAAATATGTAAATATAGACAGCTTCAAAGTGTAATGACATGCTTTCTAAGTCCCCACAGCTTAAGTAATGGCAAATATTTTGCCTTCTTCATCTTGAAATGTCATACTCGATTTAAATAGAGTATAAATGATCTTATGACCTAATTACACCTCTTCCCCCTATTTTCTTGTTTCCAGTGGAAGCTATCCTTAAGTGTAAGTGGAAAAGTGGAAAGTTCAGAATTTTGAGGAGTATTAGACAGGCCTCTACCTGAGAACACTTCAGGGGGCTACCTGCTACTCTGCCTGGAATTCTACCATGTGTACAAGTTGTGCCTCCTCTTTTAGGGTTCCTAACGAGACAATAGAGGATATGTTATTATCAACAATTATTTGATAAATATTTAATTTCAGCCAGCATTTGCCAGGCATTCCCTAAGAGACAACCTAGTGACAGAGCCCTTCCTTCTTCTCTAAATCCCAGACATACAGCACCTACCATGTGACCTTAGTCCTGGGAGGAATGAATTATATCATCATGTTATCATGTCATGTGGTCCTCTATAGAGAGTCTTTTATGATCATCTGCTTGAAAAATATTTGTGTCTTTTGAGAGACCAGAGCTGAAAATAAGCCATGGAGACCTTTTAATGGGAACCCATACAATTTCTGCCTGAGTTAGTGTCAGGGAGAATTTTGTCAGCATTCTGAAGTAAAGGTTGACTCCTTTGCCTGGGTTCAAGTTCTTTGCACAAAAGCTGCCGCAGAGCTTAAATGAGCAAATTTTGTGTTGTTGGAAAAGTCATGACGCATTTTTGCAACGAAAACCAGAAAAATACGTAATGACTTTTCTGACAACCAAATAGTTTCTTAGGATGCCTGTGCTTCCACATGCTTCTCCACACCCCCTCTTGCATGGTTCCCCAAGTCCTCTTGGCAGGAGATGAGGCACTATTGAGTAGCTGCATTTGCCTTCTGTTGGTGTCTGGTTTTCCAAGAGAAACCAGTGGCATTTGTTCATTCACCTGTCCGTAGGCAAACTTTTGTTTCCATTACAGTAACTACTGTTGGTGAACAACTTTGGGCAAGCCTCCTGAAGCCCGTGTGCAAATTTGCCCTAGATGCACGATAGGAACAGAATTAAGAAACCATGGGCCACCAGGGCAGAGGCAGTGTCTTCCCCTATCCTAGAACCTTGTAGCATCGTACTTACGATTCCATTAAAAATGTCCCAGTGGCGGCATTAAAATGAAGCCATGCAGAGGCTGTCTCGGGAAAACAAGCGCCGCCGTCCCTGGGTGGGCTCGAACCACCAACCTTTCGGTTAACAGCCGAACGCGCTAACCGATTGCGCCACAGAGACTCAGCTACCAAAACTCCTCAGTGCTACGTACAGATTCCCGCGGCCACGCCTCTCTGGCCGCCCGAAGCGTCACCGCGCTGGCCCGGCAGAGAAGCGCGCAGAGGAGGCGGGAGGGGCAGTCGGGCTGCGGGGAGGGCGCCCCTTTCCTGCCACGCCGGGTGCTGCTCCGCGGGGTGAACGTGGCATGCCCGCTAGCCTCAGACGGAGAGAGCCTGGGGAGGGGACGAAGTCGCCCAACCAAATGCGATAGATCCTGAGAGAGGAGAGCGAGTGCCGTCTGGGCCTGAGGGACCGCAGCCACCGCCGGCAGGCCAGGCTTCAGGGCTGCTTCTCAGCCTGCGTGTGTATATGCGCGTGCGTGATCGTGTGCGTGCATGTGTGCGCACATGTGTGAGTGTGCATGCGTGTGCTTATGCGCGTGCGTGTGCGATTGTCCCTCCCCTGAGATATTTTTGTCCCTAATCACCCCCCGTAACATTTCCATGCACGGACTTGGCGTGTCCGTGAACTTGCTGTCTGTCTGTCTGTGTCTGGTACATAAAACACTAAGATTTTTTTTCACCTCCAAAGAACCAATGTACCCCTTTGGGGGCGCTGTGGACTCTGTGGAGAACGCCGGCTTAGGGAACATCAGAAAGGGCGTTATGGAGGGAGTGGCCGTTAAGGTAGGCCTTTCCGTTTGACACGTTACCCGAAGGCCCCTCTTTCCCGACTTCTGGAGTGACCCGCGGTCACCCGGGGTGCCAACGACCTGGGGCAGGAGCGCTCCCCTGAGCCCGTGAGCCTCTTCTGGTTGCAGTGTCACTGTGGTTCTCTGGGACCCGACCTGTCCTCTCGCCCTGCAGAAGGGGGAACGCACTCCGCACATTGAATGGCTATGTGTGTGCTGCGTTTCTGTTCAGTGCGACCTGCGAGGGGCCCTCCCCCTGCTCTCCTCAGACCTTTCCCACTCCCCCTCCTCCTAATTCCTTTTCTCTCCATTTTAACCCATTTTTTTTTTAAAGTCCACAGTTCAGCGGCATTAAGGACGTTCACATTGCGTGCAACCTTCACCACCATCCATCTCCAGAACTTTTGCATCTTCCCAAACTGAAACTCTGCCCCCATTAAACACCGACCTCCCCGTTTCCCTTTTCCCCAGCCTCCACCATGCACTTCCGGGCTCCAAGAATTGGACCACTCTAGTTACTTCATGTAAGTGGAATCACACAGTATTTGTCCAGTGGCTGTCTTGCTTCACTGAGCATGATGTCCTCAAGGTTCATCCATGTGTTAGCCTGTGTTAGAATTTCATTCCTTTTTAAGGCTGAATCATACTCCACTTTGTGCATAGACCACATTTTCTTTACCCATTCAGTTGTCCATGGACGCTGGGGGTGCATCCACCTTTTTGGTTATTGTGAATGATGCTATAATGAACATGGGGGGTGCAGCTATCTCTTCAAGGCCTTTCTCTCTAGTCTTTTGGGTACAGAAGCAGAAGTACAAATGATGAAACACATGGTAATTCTTTTAATTTTTTGAGGAACCACCA